TGCCCTAATCTGCCGCACCTGTAGCATTGTCTTAGCTTGGGAAAAAAAGTAGTGAACCTCTAGAATCGTATGATCCAGAATTACACTTTTCGGGATGTTGTCCCCAGAGAAGCCAACTTTGACCGACAGAGTCGGCACCCTGTTGTCACACTCCCTACTTCCCCTTCTTGTCAGTCTTTGGATAAATATAATTTTTTTCCTCGGATATTAGGCCTTCCTTAATTTCTACGTCCGAATACTCAATAGGGATGCCCCTAATAACTCCGTAAGATTCAATGTATTTTCTTGGTATAAACACCTTAATATTGTTGGCTTTCCAAATCTCATTGTTTACGCATCTATTTGCGAAAACAATGTTCTCAAAAGTTACCCTATTCAGGGTCGGCAAAAATCCTCCGGCTGAACCCTCCACGAGGGTGCTGACTGGAAATGGGCACTACAGAGGATTCTGTGCGATGTCAGAATGGTGCTCAGCTAAGATCAGGAATCAGTGCTATGTGCTAAACTCCTTAATAGCGTAGTCATATGGAAATGGTTTCTGATCGTGGCTTGGAGGTCTGAAGGGGCTGGATCAAGGCGTCACGCGCACCGTACCGAGGATCGGCCAGGCTGGGGGCCCCTAAATAGCCCAGTCGCGAACGGAGCCCTCTGGGAGGCGGCCACACCCAGGATGTAAGTAGGCCTTACCTGGGCATCGCGGATCTCTGCCCGGGTGGACGAACCCCCCCTTTCTCCGCAGCCCGTGGGATCAAATATGGATAGAAAACAATTAACAACAACAACAACAAAAACAGCAACAACACAACAACATCAAAAACAAACTATAAAGGGACCGGCCCCCTTAAAGCGTCGGAAGGGTCTCGGCCCACTAAACAAGGAGCTCAAGATGCAGAGTACCTCCACCAGCCGTAGTGCGGTGACAAATAGCGGGAAACCAAGGCCAATGGTGAAACCGGGCCAAGCTCTCGCAAAAACGAAGGAAAGTGGCGGTGGGGTTGCTCAAAGGAGTCCACCCCGGGAAACTCCTGGCACCAGTGGATGCCAACCTGGCATGCAGATTGCAGCCGGGGATAAGGCTGAATCTGGGCCGCAGGCCACGGGCGGTCCTCCCGCGACACCAACGGCCTTCACGAGGCCTGACCAGAGGCCAGAACCAGCTGCAGCGGGCTATCGACAGAGGAAGCTGGCTGCTCGAATCCAGCAAAGGTTCACCGCAACGCCTGACCTGTATAGCAAGGCGAAAGAAGAGCATGTGAAGGAGATCCTCACAGAAATCGACTGGGCAAAGGCAGTCCTGCCCGACTACCGCAAGCCGGAGGAGAAGCAGCCGCAGGCGTCCTCCAGTAAGCGCAATAGATCGGGGGAAAATACGCTCAACCATGCAAAGAGGGTCAGAACGCAGGGGCCTTCTTTTGCTGAAGTAGCCAAGGAGCAGATCCTGCTCGGCGTCATTGATGAGAGCAATGAAGACAGCCTCACCCTGAGGCAGCAATGGAAGTGGGTTAAGGCCGCGATGGCCGACATTGCTATCAACATTATGTTGGAGAATCCGGGACCTCCGCCAACCTGTAAGGGAGCGGGGTGGTTCCAAAATAACCTCCGCGTTATAGCATGCGAGGATGCTAGATCAGCGGAGATCTATAAGAAAACAGTCGCAGGTATTGGAGAAGTCTACCCTGGTGCAAAGCTCAGGGCGGTCGACTTCAAGGACCTACCGGTGCGACCGAGAGCGAGAGCATGGTTGCCTTGCAAGCCAGCGGAGCCAGAAAGGATCCTGCAAACCATAAGGCTCTATAGCCCGGAGCTACCTACCGATAATTGGAAGGTGGTAAAAATTACCGAAAGCGGTAAAGCGACGATGCAGGTTGTCCTGCTTCTAAATAAGGACTCCATAGAGTTGTTGGAGCAAAAGAGCGGGGTTATACGTTACGGCTGTGACATGGCCAAAATTAAGGTCTGCAGCAACGACGTAAACGCAGCGAAGAACCTGATCGCGGAGGTAGAGCCGGAAGAGGCCAACAGCGACGTGGAGATGGAGGAAGAATCCTAGCAGGTTGATCCGATGGACGACCTGACCGGGGGTTATGCCTCATCGACGTCTTCGCTGGGGGTCGGACGCATGCTTCGGCTTTATACGGAGGAGGAGTTGATCGAGATGTCGGAAGACGCGGTCAACTCCACCCTAATAGGCGACGTGGGCGGTAATGGCCAATATGGTGAAGGTACTGCAGATTAACCTTCACCACTGTAAAGCAGCTTCAGCTGCACTGCTGCTCCATCTAACAGCTAAAGGGGCAGCCGACATCGTCCTAATCCAAGAACCTTGGGTGGTGGGACAAAACATTTGTGGGCTGAAAGCGCCGGGCTACAGACTGGTAAGTGGAGCCTCAACGGGGAAACCAAGGACGTGCATATTGATAAGTATCACACTAAAGTGTCTCTTTCTTCCACAATTTAGCGACGAGGACAACGCAGCGGTCAGTCTAAGTGCAAACGGAAGACCAATTAAGATGGCATCCATGTACCTAGCGCACGACAAGGAGGTGCCAACTATCTGCATTAAAGACCTAGTGGCCAGCACGAGAGAGGCGCTAATTTTGGGTGGTGATGCGAATGCTCACCATCACACCTGGGGCAGCTCCGATGATAACGAACGGGGTGAGTCACTTTTTAATTTCATACTTAGTTCTAAGCTTGTTATTGCAAATAGGGGGGAATGATCCCACTTTTATTACAAAATCCCGAAGGGAAGTTCTGGACGTTACCCTTATCTCTGAGAATGCGGAATGTCTGGTCGGGAAGTGGAAGGTGCTTGAGGAGCACTCCTTTTCCGACCACCGATATATCCAATTCGAGGTATTAGGGGAAACGCCCAAGGCTCCTCTAACTAGAAACTTGCGAAATGCCAACTGGCATAGGTATCGGAAAGAGCTGGATAGGCTTTTGCCACAAGATAGAGAGCCGGCTACTCCAGCAAACCTAGAGGAGCTGGAATATCTTGTCGACCATTTTACGGGGGCCTGCAGTAAGGCAATAGACATTGCATGCCCCAAAAAAGCAGCACCGGGGTAGGAAAAAGCCACCCTGGTGGAATGAAGAAATCAGGATTTCACGCAAGAACTGCAGGAAAACCTTCAATCAGGCTACTGCGTCTGGTAGTGAGGGACATTGGGAGACCTACAAGACAACGTTACGGGAGTACAAGAAGCTCCTAAGAAGGTCGAAAATAACCTCATGGAAAGACTTCTGCAATGGGGTGGAGTCTATCTCAGAGGCAGGCAGGCTCAGAAAGATACTCTCAGGTACTGCCCAGAAAGCCCCAGGATGCTTGCAAATACCTGACGGCCCCTGGACAGAGACCGAGGAGGAATCACTGGATCTGCTTCTTTGCACACACTTCCCGGGTGCCACGGATAGCATGCCGGTACAGCCACATCTAACTGGAGATCTTTCGGTCACTGGAGATTTCCTCACTAGGGAAAAGGTCATCTGGTCTATTGGGACATTTAAGCCCTTTAAATCAGCAGGTCCGGATGGCATTGCCCCCATACAGCTGCAGCAAACACTTCAGCTAAGCTCAGCGTGGCTACACGCTATAATTAAGGGAGTATTAGCTCTTAACCATATCCCTAGAAAGTGGAGGGAATCAAGAGTGGTGTTCATCCCCAAGGCAGGGAAGGTGTCTCACAATAACCCAAAGGATTTCAGGCATATCACCTTGTCGTCATTTCAACTGAAGGTTATGGAGAGACTGGTGGAGGTCCGTATCAGAGAGTCGGTTGGTGACAGACTCTCTACCACACAACATGCTTATACGAAAGGTAGATCTACAGAAACGGCGCTACAAGAAATAGTGTCGTATATAGAGAGATCACTAGACATCAAAGAATATACGCTAGCAGCGTTCCTGGATATAGAGGGCGCCTTTAACAACATCATGCCGGGCGCGATAACGGCAGCACTGGCGGGCCTGGGCATCGACTCGCGCTTAGTTGCGCTCGTAAACCAAATGCTGAGATGCAGGGTGGTCCGGGCGGAGCTGGCGGGGGTATCGTTGACCAGGTTCGTAGAGAGGGGCACCCCGCAAGGGGGAGTCCTATCCCCTCTATTATGGGTCGCAGCGGTAAACTCACTGCTGTGTGGCATGGAGGGGGGTGGCTGTAAGGTTATTGCGTATGCGGATGATCTTGCACTAACAGTAAGTGGGAAATTTCCACAGACTCTATGTGACATTATGCAGGTAAAACTGAAGGAAGTCGAGAGTTGGACAAAAAATAACGGGTTAGGGGTAAACCCAAGCAAGACAGAACTTGTACTGTTCACAAGAAGGTACAAAATCCCCCCATTGATAACACCAAGGCTGGCACAGACCACACTAAAATTAAGCGAATCCGCTAAATACCTGGGGATAGTCCTAGATAAAAAATTAAGCTGGATTCAAAACACCGAAGAGCGGGTGCGGAAGGCCACGGTTGCCCTATACAGCTGCAGGAGGGTAATCGGCCAAAAATGGGGTTTAACCCCGAAGCTAGTGCACTGGATATACACCGTCGTGGTGAGGCCCATACTTCTGTACGGGGTAGTGGTATGGTGGCCAGTGCTGGAGAAGAAAGTAAACATTATTAAATTACAAAAAGTGGAGAGAACGGTCCTGATCTGCATTAGTGGTGCTCTCCGCACAACACCTACTATGGCAATGAATACGATCCTCAACATCATACCCATAGATATTATGGGACGAAAATACGCTGCGTTTGCAGCCCTAAGACTACAGGGGCTTAAAAGCTGGAAAGCGGCTCGCTGTGTTCACACTACAATTCTGAGAAACCGACAACTACCGAGTACAAAGGACTACTGTGTACCAAGGCTCACTTTCACTAAAGGTTATAGCGTAACGCTACCTAGCAGGGAATCATGGCTCGAAGGAGTTCCGGGGTCTAGAGATGCCATAAGATTCTACACGGACGAATCCAAACTAGAAAATAGGGTAGGAGGAGGCGTCTACTCGGAGAAATTGGGAATAAAAAGATCATTCCGACTACCTGACCACTGTAGTGTCTTTCAAGCCGAATTGGCAGCCATACAAGAAGCCGTTGACAGCCTAAAACTAGCTGTTATCGCCACTACGGAAATATATATATACTCAGACAGTCAGGCGGCCCTTATGGCGCTTGACTCTGTCACTATAAATTCGGAAACAGTTGCTAACTGCCGCAAATCACTTAACGTGATGGCAGAGCAGTTCGCTTTGCACCTGGTATGGGTACCGGGGCACAGTGACATACCAGGAAATGAGAAGGCAGACGAGCTTGCAAGGGCGGGTACTTGCTCTCCACTTTCACCAGCCTGGAAGAGGGTGGGTATGCCACTCGCTTCCTGCAAGCTCTTACTAAGGGAGAACTTCCTTGAAGAAGCGGCCTCCAGATGGGAGCGCACTGAAAACTGTAATACAACGAAGCTTACATGGCCAAAATGGGATGTACGGAGATCGAGAGAAATTCTCACTCTCAATAAAGGCGATATGTCACTGGCCATTGGTCTGCTCACAGGACATATTCTGATAGGAAGGCACGCAGAACGTCTCGGGGTTAGTCACAACGACTACTGCAGGAGCTGCCACGACGAAGAAGAGCCTGAATCAATAAGGCACTTACTCTGCGATTGCCCAGCACTGGGCAGGAAAAGACAGAAATTCCTAGGTATAGGTCTTCTAGACGATCTAAGCGCGACTGCTAAGTTTGGAATACGGCAGTTGCTAAGGTTTGCAGACTCCACAAGCTGGTTTAAGGAGTAGGGGTTTTTTTTGGATCCATGTGGTATCACAATGGGCCCTGATCGGGCCTAAGTGTGCTGGCGCCCTCTGGGCCTAGCAGCCACTTCAACCTAACCTAACCTACCCTATACAGGGTAATACCAATCGCTTTTATAGTGTCGATGACGTCAATAGTAAAATG